AAAAGTTCAAGTAGTTAACGAGAACCCTTGATGGGTCATCATACAGCTGTGATAGGACATGACTCAACGTTCATTGGAAGATCTAATCCACCGTCGTCGTTTTCAATACATACACAAAGTTAACGTGGATTTTCAGCATTCTACTCGGAGTCCGCAGAATAAGAACGTAACACAGTTTCGAGACGCCTATCATTGGGACAAGGGTTATTACCTGACCGGCGGTAACAGAGCTGAGTCACGCCAGAAGCTGATGAAGTTAGCTCGGCATCGTCCTACGGCTTGCTACACATTCAGAACAATTCTGACTGCAACCACATTCTGGAAATCAATACTTAATCCCACAGCCACTCAGCATTGCTATGGCGTTTGCTTAAGGCGATGACTACAAATTGTGTGCAGCTGGATTTAATACCGAAAGGCAGGTGCTACTGAATATATCAATAGGAAGATGCAGACAAACTTCGTGTATACAATTGGTGATGACTACTTTATGGCTGAGTGCAACTGTGATACGCCAACATGCATATCTAATTCCAGATTATAATTATTCTACAGAGGTTCTTTATGCCTAAGCAATGCGCAATAAGTCACGTTCACCAGAATCTCAGGTAGCTTGATCCGTAACGACCATAATGTTTCAAATACTCACTGGGACTTGTTTATCTCGCTCCTCACATGGTTCAGGGCACTGAGAAAAAAAGATTCAACTTCACTTCGTTGCTCAAGTACACGTTTGGCCAAATGGTAAACACGATTAGCCCGTTTGCGTTCCAGTAGTAAGCTTTCGTATGACTGTTTGACAGTGTTTGCGAATTCATTCGTAGGATGAACTAATTGCTTCCCCGAGTTTTCGTCCTTGTTAACGAGTTTTACTTTCGTATCGCTGAGTTCTTTCTCCAGTTTTTTAATGTATTCTGCTTGCTGCATTGAGCGAGGAACAGAGGCTGAGTTAGTCATTAAAGATTTCGAATTAACCTACAATTTACTGGCCTTGAATATGAATACTTTATATCGACTAAAGAATAACATGGGGAGTAGGGTTGCAACATCGTCACAACCCATGTATCCTGAACGAAATCCAACTTTCATTCTGGTGCCACTTGTGATATTCATGTTGACGTGATAATGGTGCGCTGGTGCGACTTTGTAAGATGTATTTGGGCTCTTTGCACAGCTTAGAAACTAATTCCGGTTATACAGTCTAAAGTATTGTCATAAAAAGCATGACCTTAATTAGCTTTTAGCTGCTCACGTCATATGTTTGCTGACTTTGTAAACAGGATTACAAGTACTAGAAGACAAAGAAACACCGAAGTAATCTGTCTAGAAAGTCCCCAGATAAAATGACAGAGATTTAAGGAAGAACAAAATACTTTGGCCCGTTCCCGATATCCTAACCAACATAACACGCGTTATAAATAAACTGAGTGACCGCATTTTAATATTCTGTTATCAGATTAACATATCAACACATATAATATGACACTTATAGACTCTGATATTAACGTACTAAAGACTGTACCCTTGAGGATCACAACCCTGCTTTTTAATCGAATGGTGCGGGTTTGAGTTTGCATGGGGTGCCTGGAGACCCTCGCAGAATGCTTAGACTTCTCTTGACTGATGATGATTGCACGGCAGCGTAAACTCGGTGTTGCTTCCCGGTGTAAAACTGGTGACTTATACTAGCGTATACCACATGTTTCTGAAAGCATTTCATTCGATTGTGTAAAGGAAGTCATATGTTTTGGAATGTACTCCCGTATTATCCATTTACGGATGGTCAACGCATGTGTGACGATTGTATCACTTTCTTTCCTTCTGTCCTTGCTTTCCTTTACTTTGTCCTCTCTCTCGCTCTCCTCATACTTGGTTTCAACGTGGTAGTGAGCAGGCGAGTTTTCAGTAAATGACTATAAAGTGATGGGATATTACATTACATCCCGCAAAAGATCCATCTGTGAAATTGAAATGATTCTATTTTATCTAACTGACATCCGATTTGTTTGCTAATTCAGCAGCCGCTTTTAGATTCGTTTAGTTTAGCGACTTATTCGCCTACCCAAAGTACTTTGGCCTGAAAGAATAGATCGATCGATAGACTGGCGTCATTTAGACGATATACACGGCACGAGTAGCACGATGTCCAACTTGCAAAATAATCTGGAATTATCCACAAGGCACATACCACAACTGCATTTTCAGCTTATGTGTAGTAGCCAGATGAACGTTTTGCATGCTCCAAAAAGATAAAGTGTTGAATAGTCCTAAACATTTGTAAATGAATTGATACTGGACCGGACAATACTCGGAACTACCTCACTCCTTCACAAAAGGGCACTGACCTGCCTATGTGAACAAACGTTGCACGCACTACATACAGTGAAAGCACCATCAGTGGATAAGTAGGGCTTGATTGGAGAAGTGGTCTTAGAGAAGGGATATTTGCAACGATTCAAAGAGATCCCTATAGGGTTCAACAATCCGAAGTTTGAACAACAAATTGTCAAGAAGGCAAAGATGTTCTCTACTATGTCGTTTATAACGACGAATCAACAAATGATGAGAACTTTAGAGGTTCACAAGGTAAATGAACATTATCCACGTACCTGGAATTTGCACCAAGCACTACGTGATGGACCCGATAGATGCGCACCACTGATGATGCCCAAAAGATTGAAACTGCAGTCCAGTGCTTTTCCGAGCATATGTAAGATTACCTGATGTGAAAGTTGCTACGATGAACGCTAATAATTACATCAAAAACCCTTAATCATGGACAAAATACCTGCGAGATTTAGACCTAAAAAGAGGCGCCTGGTCAATTTCAGTTACCGGCAACCTGACAGCATCCTGAACAGGATATACTATGAACCTTTCCTTAGACAACTTCTTGATGCACTGGCAGTCGCAGTGGGTAATAATCGGCGCCCTATCCGCTGCATCGATCAGGGTGGATAGGGTTTCGGTTCTACTGCTCAAGCCTTCCCGTCTTCATATTCCCCCTCTTATGCTTTTTCACCATTCTCGTCCCCTCCTCACTTCAATTTTAGCCCCCACCCACTTTCAACTGCCTAATTTTTGGTCATCCCCCACTTTTCTATGGTAGGCGTTTGTCTTCAAGTTTCAACTCACATGCAAACCCGGAGCGTCACTCATTCCCCGTCGACAAGCTCATGCTCTACCAAGTGTTCAAGCCCAGTACAACGGCCTCATTTTTGAGCTCTCGATCCTTCTTCAGATGTACATGCCTTAACGTACGCACTTTGTTATTGCTCAGTTAACAGGCAGCACTTACCTGTAAACTAGGTTCCCTCTCGATCGACACCTGCTGCGTATCCGAAACCCACCTGCTAGATTCAAGCTCTGCGCTCGCTTTACGATCCACTTCAGGTGACACCAGGAGTGCTTTCGCCAGGAGCCTGTACGCAGACGATGCACATTCGAGCACTGGCCAAGCCGGTGTTGGTACTGTCCTGAGTCCCCGGGCCGAAGCTGCTCTTGCTGATTGGATCCCAGTTAGTAGCCGGATGTGTGCGGTCCGATTGGCCAGATGATATATATATATATATATATATATATATATATATATATATATATATTAAAGGTTACCGGCACCCACTTTCGGATTTGCCCATCACTGTGGCTAGCCACAGGACGCCTGCGCCTACAGAGGGACCATGGGAGGCTAGCGATGCACCACCCACAGCTCCAACCACACACCACATATCCAGTGTAAAACCGAAGGAATAAGACTAGGAGGCATGTGGATAGGAGCCACGTTTCATCAACGGAGCCGGCTCACAATCTTTCACAGGAAAACACAAGCGTGGCGTATTTGGGGAATGAAGTGCACACACACCGGGAACGGGACCGTAGTCCGCTTCACATTGGTTGCATGGAACCACTCTTCGAGCCTAGTCGGACCACATGGACCGTGTTGCTTGGTCCCCTCCAGCAACTACCAACTATCTCCTAAAGCCAGTATGGGCGAGGTAGTGGGTAAGAGACAGGTCTGCACCTTGTCAACATGCACAGCAAGCGCATCTACACCGAAGATATCAAGCAATAGCCAATCACTTGAAACGATAATATTATCTAAAACAAATCGAATAATGCATACAGATACGTTGACAAAATCCTTCACAAAATTAGCTTATGAAATAAAATGTTTACGAACAAATCCACAATAAGTTCAACACTTTAGGAAGTATATTTTAAGAAAATGCCACAAAGGCAAAAATGTTATCGAAGTAAACTAAAGTAGTTTAAGGAATGTTTGCAAGTTTATAGAAGATAATTCAAGTAGACATTAATATAAAATAGCATTAGGCAAATATAACAAACCCACCACCTGAAGTACCATGACTGAGCATGCAAGCAGGCAGTTAATAGAGCGAATGCGGCGTACCTACCAATGATACACCGGATCAGCTTATGTTCTCAGCAGGACTCGTCATCGTTTCGGTGTTGAACCCATGTGTCCTCGATCATGGCTCACTAGGCCTACCTGACTCAAGCACTCGCGACCGCATGTGCTACAGTAACAAGCGCTCGATGTCGATGGAGTACAAAACATTGGCGCCTGTCGGTTACGCAATTACCGCTACTTCTCTGCATGCAAGAGGGATTTCTCTTGCACCTCTTAAACGGTATACGTGATCAGATCGCGCAATGAACGCCGACAAACCGCTTTCAATTCCCATGAACTGCCACCAAGAATAGAACGTCTGGGGCGCACTTCAACCATGTCCTGGTAACGAAGCTTCGGTTTCACCACATTACCCTTTTCAACACTCAGTTGACAATATAACAGCTGCTTCGGTATCCCCGTCGAATCCATACGCCACACATGACCGAGCCACCTCAGGTATCTCAGTAAAAGTATGCAGTCCACTGCATACATTCCACTTCGGCGCAACACTTCCGTGTCTGCAACTCTGGCGCCCCAACCGATCCGCAAAATTCGTCGCAGACACTGCTGATGGAACCGCTCGAGATATCGCACATCCCGATGGTACATCGTCCACGTTTCACTGCCGTATAGAACAACTGATAGTACCATGGATTTGTACACCATCAGCTTTGTGCCAATGCTAAGATGTTGGTTGTTCCACACTCGGTACTCAAGCTTCCCGAATGCCGCCGCTGCCTTCGACACGCGATTACGCAACGCAACGTGTAGCTGCTGGTCAGTCGACATCACACTCCCAAGATAGCTGAAGCGGCAATTGGTTTCCAATACTTCAGCACCAATGCTGATTCGCGGCAATATTGAAGATTGCACCTCCGGTGAAGGCTGAAAGGGACAGAGAGTTTTGCTTGTGTTGATGGTGAGCCCAAATTTGGCCGCTGTCGAAGCCAGAGCACTAGTCATGTGCTGCAACTCATCCGCGCTGTGTGAAAACAACGCGCAGTCGTCAGCAAACAGCAACATACGGATAGTTGTCTCACAGACTAGAGTTCTCGCACCGAAACGACAGATGTTCAGCAACCCACCATCAATACGGTGCTCCACACGAACACCGTAAGCACAAGCGGCATCAAAAGCACAGGATAACATTGCATGAAGATAAATATTAAACAGGGCAGGAGCTAAGACACAGCCTTGCTTCACACCAGACATAACCGCAAAGTCATCCGAGGTCTGTCCACTCAGCTGCACTCTCGCCAGCATACCACTGTGCAGATATTCAATTAAACTTACAAATTTACTTGGACAACCAAACTTACCTAACACCAGCCACAATGCTTCACGGTTCACCGTATCAAATGCCTTGGTGAAATCAACAAAAAGCGAGTAAAACGGCTGGTGTCATTCTCTGCAATTCTCCTGCAACTGCCGAGCCGAAAATACCATATCTATAAGGTTGTGATCAGAACGGGCTCCACATTTCTCTTCCGACAAGTTCGGTTCTACA